GTTCCGACGTCCGAAGAAAGTAAGGAATATATATCCCCGGGGTGGTTTTTTTTTTTATTTCAGACCAATTTCAGAAAAACTGACAGCGTGTGGGCATCGATCTGGAAATCTCGGGATTGCCAAGCGAGTATTCTTGCACTAAACTAAGGTGCGGTTTTACTGCTGGAATAACACTTTGATAGTTAGTTCCAATACGGGCATTATTTATCCGTGGTAAAGTATCCGCACTCAATCGTTCCCAATTGAATTGAGGTAAGCTCATTGTTCTTATTCATTCAGCAGACGTTTAATATTTTACCACTTCGATCGGCCTAAAATTTGTAGTGTGTCAATATTTCATATACCAAACCATATTCGAGACCAATTTATGGAAAAACGGAACATGCAGGGCTTTGTTCTGCTACGAACAATCTTGTTTTAATATGGGCATGCTCATCGATAGACATGATAATAGGCCGGCCCCTAGTGAGCCTGGTAAGCAGCTTTTAAAACTTTACAAAAGTCTGATCTCCAAAAATTTGCGCAAAATCTGTTATCTGATAAAAAAAAATTTTGGCTATCAAACAAAAATAAAAATATAAATAAAAAACAGAGATTATACCCTTTTTTAATTTTCTAAGGCTTTACAAAAGGCTCTTCATGAGATAATTGTGTTAGCAATCGGCCCGGTAGTTAAGGCATAATTTTGGGGCTGACTTAAAAGCCAAAACTGATAAAGTTTTGGGCCAAATGTGAGTGTTGATTTCAATTATCCGGACAGATTAAGAATGCGTTTTTTTTAACCAGTTGGGTTGATTTAAGAGTGTTGAGTGTTGATTTAAATTATCCGGACAGATTAAGAATGCGTTTTTTTACCCGCACTGAGTGTTGATTTAAATTATCCGGACAGATTAAGAATGTTTTTTTTTTTTACCAGCTGGGTTGCATTTAGAAAAAAAATGATGAAGCCAACCATCATTTTTTTTCTAAATTCAACGCAACTGGTAAAAAATACGCATTCTTAATCTGTCCGGATAATATAAATCAACACTCAGTGCGTGAATCAAATCATCTGGAAGCTAAATAGTGAGTGCTGCTAACTTTTGTTCTCTTTGAGAAAGATGTTGGTTTAGGCGTTATTTCAGAAAATTAAACTTTTTTGTCTCTTTTGGATCAAACTCTTTAGTTATGCTGCATGAGACGGGAGATCGGCCTTGAAGCATGTGTGTCGTTTAGCATGCCCATTTAACTGGAATCAGTTGACTCGCTCGCTCAAGTTTCTTCACTGAAAATTATTCGTTGAATAAGTGCATCTCACCAAAAGCGTTATTGCCTAGCGTAACTAAGGCTTTTTATCGATTGTTTAAATGTGCAAAAATGCGTGTGAAACCCAACTTCTTCCAAGAAAATCATGTGCCTTTTAATATTAATTGAAAATTTAAGCTTAGTTTTTTTCGACCAAATTAACACAAAAGCAATTAGCTCGTGCTCTGGCACATATAGTTATTGCTGTGTCCCCCATCGATATTATGAGTCAAACCGTCGGATGTAGCGATAGCCATGTGAGCCCGTAAGTGTTTCTTAATTTCTCCATTTGGTGCTCATTCAGTCGAAAAAAATTAGTCAACGTTTTCATTTGACATTAAAAGTCGATCAAGTTAAGATCTTCCACTCTTCCACCTCAGCATTTAATTCGCAATATTTTGCTAAGCGCTGCATGTGATTGGCTAAAAATTCCTAACTTGGAACCAATTTTACTTCTTTCACGCAAAAGGCTTGGGGGATGTTGATTTGGTCCTAAAAATCATTGATTTTTTGGGGAGAGGGGAGGTAAGTTAAATTTTTATTTTCACTTGATTAAACATTTGTCAAACTGCACTATATGTGCTAGTCAGAACGCACTCAATAACATGCGCTTTAATAAAAAACTTTTAAATTTTTATTTTCACCTGATTAATCGTTCGTTAAAATGCATGATATGTGCTAGTCAGAATGCACTCGGCAATATGCGCTATATTTAAAAGCTATAGTGAAATTTTGTTGAGCATGCGAGTCATTTGTTTTTTGTTCCGACCTCCGAAGAAATTAAGGAATAAATATGCCCGGGGTGTTTTTTTTTTAATTCAGACCAATTTCAGAAAAAATGACAGCGTATGGGCATCGATCTGAACATCTCGAGATTGCCAAGCAAAGATACACTAGACTAAAGTTCGGTTTTGCTGCTGGAATAACACTTTGATAGTTAGTTTAAATACGCTTATTTTTTATGCGTGGTAAAGTATCCGCCGTCATTAGCGTTCCAAATTGAATTGAGGCGAGCTCATTGTTCTAATTAATTCCATAAACGACGCAAACTTTAACACTTCGATCTGCCTAAATTTTGTAATTTGTCGATACTTCATATACTAAACCTTATTCGAGACAAGTTTATGAGCAGTCGGATTATGTAGGGCTTTGCTCTGCTACGAACAGTCTTGTTTTCATATGGGCGTGCTCATCGGTACACATGATAATAGGACGGTTCCTCTCCGAATGCTTATTATGCAAAGTTATTAGTTTAACTCTCCAACAAATTAAGTGATTTTCAAAATCAAATGAAATTTTAGGCTCAGTAATTTTGGACTGAATGAGTTTCTAACGGAAGAAATTAGCGCTTGGTTATAGGCACGCATGGTTATCATTTCGATCCCATCTGACGGAGGGTTAATAACTTAGACGAGGCACTTAAAAGGAAATTAGACGATTTTACGAAAACGATTTACGATTAATTAGACGAAAGCTGCAATTGTGAAAATTAAGTGGAAATTGACGAAAGTGAGAGAGATTAAAATTGTTTGCAGGCAAAATGCATGAGAAAAATAAAATTGTTTGCAGGCAACAATTAAATTTTAGTGGCCAAAAGTTTTACATGTTAATCATGCATATTTTATTCAAATCGAAACTCTCCTGTAATAGTCGGATTTGACATTTTATGTTTATTTAAACTAATTCTTTTGATAGGTATTGTCATTTTATGTTCTTTTTGCATTTGTGAAATTTGACTCCTCAGAAAAAATTTTGATGGCCCTTTCCTTTTCATAGCAGCGATGTCTAAAATGCCAGATCTGTAAAAAAAAATGTCTAATTTTGTTTTTGTAGCATCCGTCTAATTTGCTTATCGTCTAATTTCCTAGGCCCTCATCTGACGTTATGGTCAGGCATGGCATTAATCTGCGGCGCATAATCTCTCATAATTACCGCACAATGAGTCTCAACTTTAAAATCGCAGAATCTCAAGCTTCAAATTGCAGAAATTACGCATTATTTACGCAATTTGAGCAAACAAGAGTATTTGTAGCGAACAGCCCCGAAAATTAATGTATATTTTACAGTCATACAATCTGCTAGGTTAAAAAATAACATTTTTTTTAGAAATTTTTGATTCCGAATGAAATCTCTTCAAATACTCAAAGAAACTGAAATGAAAATAGATATCCTTGGTCACAATTGTGATGATAGGGTCGTCAAACTAGTTTTTGCAAAAATATGCTGGACTGTTTGGCAAAAATATGTTCGCAGAGTTATAATTTTCCGCCGAAACGTTCCCATAATTTGTAAAAAAAAATAAACGCCCGCAGTCCGCATGGAATTATATTAATTATGCCCTCACAGATTTTGCCCCCGTTATGGCTTGTTCTTGAACTAAAAACTACTACAGATTGTTCAAAATAACGCAATTTTATCGGCTATTTATACTCTCATAGTAATTGTTTTTGCACTGGTGCAGTTTACTATTCTCTAATTCAAACATGTACTTTTATCGTGCGCTTGAGTTCAACTTCATAGAAGATTCTGGAATCAACTCTATTTTTGGCCTTGTTCGAACATGTACTTTTCTTGCTCAATGGAATTCTTAAATTGTACCGGCCGAAGTAAGTGTTGTGGGGTGCCGGACATCAAGCCGACGGGACTTCAAGCCGAATCGTAAAATTAGGGACTTCAAGCCGAAGTTTTTCTCATTAAGTCATGAAATAAGGTTAATTTGAAACCTTTTTTTAAAGAATTTCTCAATTTGACAATCTTTATTCGGTAATTAATAGCGTTTTCACGAAATTTAAAGCTCCAAATGAAGTTTAGGAAAAGTGAAAAATAAAACACGGTTGAAGGTAATTTTCCTGTTTATAATTTATGCATTTCAAATAACGGCTGATTTTATTAACTAATGCCAATCCTAAGTAATTCATTGTCATAAATAACGCTTATTATGGACTAAACTAGACTAAGATTTTGAAAAGAAACGTTTTACAGATGAAAAAATAATGATTTGAGGTGCTTGTAAAGTTTAATTTTCGGCCTGAAGTCCCTTCGGCTTGAAGTCCCGTCGGCTTGTTGTTCTAGACCCAGTGTTGTGTACCTATTTTAATCTCCACGTCATTGTTGGATTTTAAAAAAAGCAGACACATCGTACATGTACGTTTTCGCTGCTTACTAATCCGAATCTTGTTGAATCAACCACCGAATGAACAAAAATTATTCCTAACAAGAGTGTCTTTTCTCCTAGGGTCTAAAATGAATCATTCTTCAGACTAATTAAAACAAAAGAGGAAAGGGCAGTTGGAAATAAGAACCTGGATCAATGTTTTTTCTGAATTTTCACCTCAAATTATTTGTAAAACTCAGTCAAGGAAGAGTTTTAAGCCTTTTTTTGGCTTACATTGTGCCTTTCACTTCCACTTAGCTGCACTGCAGGTAAGCATACTTGCACTTGATAACAATCTGCTAAGTTTTAGACGAAATTTGATCGGAGGATATTCTTCTTTAATGACTTTCGTGGCTTATTTTGATCAAATACTCGTAAAACTTGAACGCTAAAAGTGAAACTCCAAATTAACATGGTTTTATAGAGTTAAAGCTACTTTTATAGAGGTGAGGTGGCAGCACCGCAGCAGTTAGATGCCTTTTAAGGTAGGAGCAAGGTATGCATCTTTCAACACGCACCACCCTACGTTTTTCTCTTACTATAAAAGGTATCTCTTACGTTTCTATTCTTTTACTTCTCCGTGGATAACTACAAAACTTATCGCGGAGCATTTCTTCCCTTTGAATTTGTAGGTTTTAAACAGAGTTAATTTGGTTCACTAAAATGCTTTCTATCCTGAGTTATTTTGGGATTCTACAATGAAACCAATCAGCAATTGAATATTTTTTGCTTTTTTACCGGTGACGTGGAACGTTTATGTTTGCTGAAGCTTTCGCGCAAAGCATTTTGTCTTAACCGAGTGGTTTTAAAATGTAGCTTTTCGTCAAATGGTACTAAAGTCCGAGTCTCATATAACACCAATTTTGGACCTGCAGACCTCTTCGGGCGGTTCAGTTTGACTTGTAGCATTTTATAGTCTAGACGACATTCAATTCGACTCTGTAATTTTGAACAAATATTGCATCATGCTTCTCGTATTTATTTGAACAAATAAATTACTGATAATACTTAGGACGTGAAAATGGTATAAACATGATATGTTTTTCAGCTACAACTGATAAAAGCTAGACTAACGCTGTTGGTACATTGAAACTTTATTTAAAATGTTTATGACCAAACAGAAAATACGCTCAAACCTTTCTTTGATACCTGGTTTAATTTGACATTTCGGTCTTGCAGTTTGATCAAGTTTCTCTCGTTGACAATGTGACTCATTTGATCATTTTGAGGCTCGGATCCATTGCGTTTAAGATACCAAGGTTTGACGTCTTCATGTTATAACCAGTAATTTTATCGTCTCGCAAAATTACGAGTGCAAGTCGCGTTACAAATATCCGAATACAACTTGACTGATCGTACCATTTTATTTTTTATAGAGTTAGCTCTTTGGACAGTTGTTTGGTTTACCGAAAAGTCCAATATTACTCTCAAATAGCTTAAATAATTCAAAACTAACTCACTATTTCTGTCATCATTATTCATTTCTAGTTTGCGTCTATCAATGTGATTAATATTTTATCTTTCGTAACCTCTCGGACATTTAACGCGTCATAGGTAACGCCAGAATAAATTTCAAGGTAAGTTTTAATTTCATGAAATTTGGTAGCAGAGCAAAAAATTTTCACCCTAATTGTGCCACATAATGACAATCAAGAAAATGTGAAAAATACTTTGGCTTGTTTTTACTAGCCTCTGGAGTGTATTGTATAAGTTTAGCACATTTGAAGTTAGTCCATGAAGTTATCCTCATTCTGCATATGTTGACCTTATTCCACATTCGTGTTACCTTGAGTGTAATTCATATAAAAATCTGAACAACAAAATTGTAGGATTATCTTAAATGTTTAAATCTGAGAGGCTAATTTAAATGTTTAAATCTGAGAGGCATCTAAAATGTTCAAATCTGAGAGGCAAATTAAAATTAACAGTATCGAGAATTTCGAAAAAAAGGGAAAGTTGACAGAAAATGATTGATGGTTTTCAGTTTTATCATTGGCATACATCGGTTATAGTTCGATAATATCTTTCTCTGAAATTTATTGCTTAATCCGATTGCTAGGGGAAACACAGGTTTTCAAAAAAAAATTGTACTCAAGTTCTAGGATTTTTTTGTGGGTCAACAGGCGTATACTAGAGTATTATCGCCTTAGTGACTGTTTCGTAAATTTGGTTTTGATGCTAGTTTAATGCCGGTAATTGTCATTTTCAACGAGTTTTTCTTAAAACGATTTCATTCGAGACAAATCGTGATATGAAAGTTATGGTAGAAGCAGTTTTTTCCAACATAAAAAAAATCCTCGAAATTGGGACTACAGGCTTAATTTTTGTCGGCAAGTTTGCGATGCTATGGTTTTGATAAATCGCAAGTGGTGCGAAGCTCCGCTTCGCCTGAGTCAAAAATATACCTGTGGTCGTGTTATACATGGTTCTGGATAATATAGTTTTCAGTAATTAAAAAAGAATATTATCAGCAGTCAATGCAAAAGAATTTCGCGGAGTTTGTGAAAAAAGCAAGGCATACCAACATCTAAAGGTACTTCTGGTGCAATCCTCTTTGTTAAAATAATGGGTATCACAATTTCACCCACAATCTTTAAAAATCGAAATCATTATCAAAAAAATTAGGGTCGGTTTCTTGGGCAAAAAAATCATGGCTTTATGTGTAACTTATAATTCAAATTCTATGTCGCGATTCATACCGTCCAAAAACGGACGACATGTGACAATTTTTTTTTAATGGCTGCGACAAATTGTGTCGACATAACTCAATTATTGTGTTTCAGTGTAAATAATACGTGTACAAAATATCTGAACTTGCTGCTGAACGCTTTGGCCAAACAGTGTGCCATAACTTGAAGAGATTGTTGCAAATCTTAGTCTAGCGAATCAATAATCCTATTTGAAGAAAAGGAGCGATAATAACGCATGATGCTAATGAACAGAGAAGACAAGGATGAGTTCCATTGTGTTCCCGTTTTGTTGGAACAGGAGGTCAACGGAGTTCGAAGGGAAGTGCAGCGGGTGTACTGGAGAGTGCGGAAGAGATACAAGGACTTGAAGATCATTTCAAACGCTCAACCCAATCAAGTTTGGTTAGTATTGATTTAGATATGAAATAAAGGCCCACTATCAGGGGCGGATCTAGGATTTTCTTGAGTCGAGGGCGTGCGCGTTTTCAGAAAAATTTCGAAACTTTTGTCGACCTTTTTTTTAGGTCGATCAAATTGGTTTCGATTTTTTTTCAAATCTCTATAAAGACGGTATTTGGAAAATGTTTGAAACAAGCATTTTTACAAAGGCGCGCTCCCCCCTCAAAATTTGTATATATTGGCGCCTATAGAAAGTTTTTAGCCAAAAATGGATGTCTTAAAATAGTAACATTGGGTAAAGTAGCATCCGCCCCCTCCCTAAATCCGCCACTGCCCACTGTCATCCGCACTCGTTGCCTGCGGGTAAGGCAACAATTCTCAGTCAAGAAAGAAAAAATGTCTAAAAAAATTTTCTGAGTGAACAAAAAATGGGAAAACGAAAGAAAAAAAAACACTTGTTATTTATTCAACCAAGCAAACCGTGTTGAGTTTCTCTTCAACTCGGGTACACTCTTTGTAGGTGTTGAGAGCTCAATACAGAGTTGCCTGGCTGTGCTCCTATCAAATGGTAGTTTTCTTAAGTACTTTTTGCAAAAAAGACTATATGAATATACATAATTTTTTCTCTTCTGCAAGATGTTGACAATACATGATGAAGTATCGTAGGGCAGACTGTTATGTGGACATTAGTCCCGTTGTCTGTTCTCGCCGAATCTCTTTTAATAAAGTAAGGTGCTATTATTTTCTTTGCTGTTATTTTTGTTGAAAACTGTTACTTTGAAATGATTTGGAGAAATAAATTTCTTTCTTTCTTTCAAATAGCATGTAGTTTCTCCGCAGGGACACAACACTGGTTCTCCGTATAGAGCTAAAACGTTTTTTAGTTGGGTTTTCCAACGTGGATAATTTATCTTCATAAGTTAATCTAGTAATCGTTTTTGAATTTTCAACTAAACTTTTTTAACCGAAAAAAAGGCTTTTTACTAAACTCAGTTAGTTCGCATATTTATAAATTCTTAGAATTTGCTCTTGAATTTCCTCAAGTTGATCAAAAATTGTAAGGCCTTTTCTGTGCCCCCGACCCTACTCCCTCGTTACTACCTTCGGCCTTGCTTATGTGGGGAGATCGATGTCATCTATTTTGCCGTAGCCGGTCCCCACCTTGAGAAGGTGGATGAATCGAACACCCCTCTGATTATGACCGAAGTGAAATTCAAACAAACTATCTTCGTGTTTAAAGCCGCGAGTTTAATCCACTCGGCCGCGAAGTGTCAGGTTTTCGGTACTCGTTGTTGAAAATGTTCAAGATAAAATCGACCTGTTAGCTTTTCAAGTTTATCTATTCAATCGAATCATAATTTATTGTTTTAGATAAAAACAACTCGCATTTTTGATTTAGTGAGGCGTTCGACGAAGTGTCTGGTCACAAAGTGGCTATTAAACTGGCCAAGTGTGCCTTTGTGGACGAGAACCACGCGAGGAAGTACTGCCGCGAACTGTTCCTGCTGCCCAGACTCGATCACCCGAACGTCATCCGCATCCTGGATGCATTCTCCAATGTGGAACTGGATAGTCGGCCCGACTACATGAACGAACTGTGAGTATTGCTGTGGACCAATTGGAATCTAAATCCATCATCAAGCGAATTTTTTTATCTGGCTTTAAAAAAGATCTGGAAAATGTTTTTAAAAAGTGTCAGATTGTCATTGGTGCACCAGGTGAAAATCAGGCTCGCCTTTTTTCATCTGAAAATCTCATGTGTTTATTGCTGAATCTGTTTTAATGAAAATAAATTCCCAATGACTGAAAAACGTGCCAAATGGCGCTGGGTAAAGGGGACCATTTGGGTGGCGTTCACATCCTAAATCTGCCCTTAATTTCAGATACCTCGTTCTCTCGTTGACCGACTGGGACTTGAATCAGTACCTGTGCCACCTGCTGACTCAAACAACCAGTCAATCCAAGCGCAACTCCACCCACCCCATTCAGACAGAGGATCAGCTAGAAAGGAATGCCGTTAAATCTATCATGTTCCAGATACTCAGTGGACTCAACTATCTACACTCAAATGGTCTCATGCATAGAGTGAGTCAAAGTATACATTACAATCATCAAGAATCAGGGTTGGCCTGTTTAAATAAGAAATAAGAAAAAATGGGTGCTGAAAAACACAGAAACTCATTCGAATCTTTATTTTACATATGTTTTCGTTCTTGTAGTTTTTCTTCTAAACACGTTTTTACACAAGCACAACTTGTGTTAAATCTTCTTTTTCCAATAAAATGTGATTGCCAACCCTTTTAGCACTCCGCCTCCAAACTCAAGTTTACGAATATTTGTAAAATTTTGTCAAAAGCTCCGCCTTCGGCTCGTAAAAGTTTGTCAAAAGAGTGTCTTTATGGGGCTTTCAGAGAGCTCGGAAAATTAATTTGATTGACCTAAAAAAAAGGTCATGAAAATTTTTTGAAAATTCAAGTCTTCTCTTATTCAAAAGATTTGAATTATATATTTTTTCATTGATATCATATTATTTTAGGATTTAAATCCCTCCAATGTTGGTCTAACCTTCGACGGACAAGTATTCGTAAGTAGAGTTTTGCATTCTATCGTTTTAATGTTTAAAGAGGTTAATTTAATCTAAAGTGTTGGTAATTTCTAATGTTGCAGCTGCTGGATTTCGACTTTTCGCGACACGTGAACAACCGAAACAAGGAAGGTCACTCCATCTTCATTTCCAATCAGAACTACAGGGCACCCGAGATCGTGTTGACTCCTGGTCTCTACGAGAAGAAAGGTCAGTAGTATAAATAGGAAGCATTGATGACAAATAACTGTTATTTGAATCAAAAAAGGCTATTGGTATTGCAATTTTGCAGACCCATTAAAATTCAATTAAAACGAACTTACATAGAGTTCGACTTCATATCGAACAGATCGATCCAAATCTACAACAAACCGCATTCAATTTTAACAAATTAAATTGAGTTAAATTTTGTTTTAGTGGACATATGGAGCGCTGGCTGTATCTTCGCAGAGCTTCTTGCAATATACAATGGTCTCAGAAGCAGCAGACTCAGTGCAAAGCAGTTCCTTCAGCTACCAGAAGGAGCTGGTCCAATCCAGTATTTCCAGGAACTGCTCAAACTGGTCGGCCCTCCCCCAGAATCGTTCTTCGACTGCTGTCTCACAGACGTAAGATTTTATTTAACAGTGAATTACAATTGTTCCGACCTCTTAAGTGGGAGAGGAACTTTGTATTCGGGCCTGCTTTTTCTTTTTTTTGTGTAAGAAATCAGGCATCACAAAGAAACAACATAAGATAATATTTGGTTACCAGATTTCAAAAATATCAGTCGTAACTTGATCGGTTTTTGCGCTTGCCATTAGCAAGCATTATCAAATCGGTACAGACTTTTTCACAGCTAACAAATTGTTTAACTGAATATCTGAATCATTTGGTGAGCTCTATCGTCAACTCTGTTATTTTGTCAAGTAACAAGCATTGTTGAGCGCGATTTCATATAACCAAATAATTTTCTAAGTGTAGTATATAAGGTTGTAAGTTTAACCAAGTATGTCCACATTTCTGTTCAAGCGTCTGTCCAGGTTTCGGCGTAGATTCCGCTGCCTATTTTTCATTTAAGTGCTACTAAATTTAGCTGCTAATTGAGTTCATGGATTTTTTTCCTCAAAATGAATTTCATTCGAGACAAATCGAGAGCTGTGTATGAAAATCTTAATAGACTTTTGGTCGACATTTTTGCTCACTAATTTTCCGATTTAGTGGCCTTTGCCTTTTTCTCTCGGCTATCTCGCCATGCGATGCTTGCGCCGAATCGCACGAGGTATAAAGTGCAGAAAACAATCAGTTAGAACAGTTCTGGTTTTCTGACCAATTTAGATCAAATATTTGCATATTTAGTCAATTTATGTGATGTTATGATCAATTAAAATGTGTTGTTATACACACATGCATACATAAATACAGACGCAAAACCACAAAAATATGAAATATTAGAAAATAAATATATGAATGGTTTTAAAACATCGAGCATTAGAAACTATGTTCTCAAGTTTTCGCAGATGTTTCATCTTGCTTCATAATTAAATTCAAAATTAGTCAACAATCCAATCTGGCGTTCAGGTAACACACCTGCCTGAGCAGACAAAGGCTTGTTTTAAACTAGAATTTTTTAGGTTCTTCGGACTATTGTCTGTCTGTTTCTTTTTGTCAGCTTAGTTCACGTAGGACGAATTCTTTTTGAATATTCAGCTTTTTATAAGTCCCTGATTGCCATTTGTCAAGTCATATTGGTAGAGGGACATTGAGTTACTCAATTTTTTAGTGCAGATTTTTTTTTTTTGGAAAAGTAAATGTTTTTGATTGTTTTTTTTTCGATACTTTTTGCTCCGTCCATGAATGTGCACGGGTTTATTAGATATATGATGATTGGGCTCGTGTTTAGCCAGTGTGATCAATTCGGAACATAGACTGATTCTTGTAAAAACTCTCAACATTATCACTGAATCATTTTCTCAAATCTGCACTTAAGTCAAACAACACATTTGTAAAGCAGGTTTGCATTTCAAACACCCTTTCTATTCAATATTTGTTTTTAAAATTGGTTTTAAATTTACCATTTGGACCAAGTTTTCTTAATACTCGGCTTAAAAGTTTTTTTTTCATATTATACCCAATCGGTTTAGTGGCCTCGTTGTTTATTGCATCGTTGTTGGATGAGCGGAACAAGATTTTATGCGTGTAATTTTTTTTGAGGCGGTAATTCATTGTTTTTTTGAAAGTTTGAAATCTTTTTAGAACATTTAGAACATTTTTTTGGCTGCTCAAAAATTTTCGGCTTTCTTATGGCTTTGTTTTGATGCAAGTATAACTTCCATTTGTCTCATACAACATGTTTTTTTAGCGAACTTTATTCAAGACGAGAAAAATTGGTAGAGCGGCCTCTCGTCCCTATTTCTGACTGCTAGTTTGTCATAGTATGGTTGTGTTGTATCGCGAATGGTGCGAAGCTCTGCTTCGCCTCTCTTTAAAAAATGATCCAGCTAGTTTTATTTTGCAAAAATTGGCAGAATCATGTAATTCTCGAGATATCGCGTTGCTCTGACAATGTATTCTGCAGGGATAACTGATGTTGAAGATAGACACAATTGATCTGGTTATAGTTTTGAACTACCTTGAAGTAGCCAAATCTGTTAAATTTGTTGGGTAGTTTCTCTGTAGGCAATCCTTTGGCCTTTTTCTGTCCACTTCTAATTCATGTGCCTATAAGTTGCCGCTACTTAAATTATTATTTCAGAAATTAATGTTTTTGCTGACGTCGTGGTAATGATATTTGTTTTTAAAGAAATGATTGTTTAGGGCAAGGAGAGCTTCAAGATTTGCATAAACGATATGATCAGAGAACATCAACTAGAACCTGAGTTCGACTCCAGGTTCAGCTTTCTCGATAGCCCAGGTGAGCAAACGCGATTCGTGCCGACCTTCTAACGTCGTATAAGATATGTATGATTATTTGTATACGCATTTCAGCTGGCAGATGATGAAAGGCTAGGTAAAAGGTTTTTTATTTGATACTGTATGATACATTTTTGATTAATTGATGTTTTTCAGCCAAAGAACTTCTGAAGAGCCTCGTTGCTTTCGACCCAAAGGAGCGAATCTCCGCAAACCAGGCCCTCAAACACAAGTATTTCCAGGAATTCCATCTACAAGAAGAAACGAGTGATGCGAGCAGTCTCTTGTCTTCTAACTCGGCTGTCAATGAACCTTCGACTAGCCATAGTGATGCTAACAACAATAACAACGAAGACTTGGTATGTCCAGTTGATGTAATGGACAAGCCAACGACTATGATGGAGATTAAGCATCTGGTTTTTGCGGAGCTGCACAATTTTCCAACGAGTAGATAAAACTTCGGTGCAGCTTCTTGGAAGCACTCTTGCAAATAATGAGAAGTACTGATAATGTATCGCTGCCCCAGTAAAGATAAAAACAATAAACACATCGTAGGTTAACTAGCTAAAAGGTCAAATCGCTGTAAAAAATAAGAAAGAATTATTCCGTTTCTTTTTTGAAGAAAAAATGTATATTTTTTTGCTAAAATTTGTTAACCAAGTGTGGCTGGCTCAGATATTAATTGATCATCATGTTCATTCTGTTGACTGGTTGACATTTGATGCTGAGGGTATTTAAATCATACTGCTGACTCTAGATTTTATACTTAGAAATGATGACGTCACTAAATGAGGTCAAAGTGCTTAACTTGGTGTTATTTACTTAGAAGTAGTTTACTTAGAAGCTGAACTACTTTGGCATTACCTATGTTTTTTCTTCAGTTGCATATTTGCTTTCCATAGCCAACAACTGAGCTTAAAACATTATTTGTAACTATGGAGCGATTTTTTTTTGTTTATTTTAAAGCCTCGCAAAATCTCAAATCGCTCCTGTAGTTGTAAAAAAGCACAAATTTAGTTTGATCCTAGCTGAATGTTTTTCATATAAATAGATTAAAATGTGGTATTATAAGGCATTAGATAGTTCGAAGTTGAGATTTTGAATGTGCTAACGTTCAACTGATGATATATGGTTGACATTCAAAGTTCATCTTGATGTTCATAACAACCCTTGATTATAAAGCATTAAAATTTAATTCAGTTTTAACTATAGAAGGTTCCTCGATACTTATTGCTGTCCTAGCCCTCTCTTATCAGTTTTGTGGCTTATGTGTAATTATCAGTAAATATACACGGTTAACAACTCTTAAAAACTAAAACCTAGACAGGATAAAAGTTTTTGGTTTGGGAATTTTTTTATGTCATTCGGACTTAACGGGATGTGAGGAACCCTATTTTTGTTAGCTCTTTCGCTGATTTTCGTGCAGTTGATATACGCATTGTACTCAACCGAAGCCATCAGTGGCTTCCATTTTCTCTTTCATTAAGTGTATCTATCTGCAATCCGAACAAATAATCTGATGTAAAGCTGATTCAAACCCTCAACTGGTGCTGTAACAAAAAACTTGATTATTTTTTTTGTCCAAATTGTATTGTCCAAATTAGTACAATTGTGTTGTTTTAAGTTGCATCATCAATCAAAAGTTTAGTTTAATTTTTGTATAAAATCTAATGTGAGTAACTTGGATGACAGATAATGTCAATTTATGTTGATGATACCCATTTAAAAAGTATGTTGCTTCATGTGCTAAGCACAGTCTTATTTTCTTGCTATGTCTGATCTTTCCAAGGTGCTGCTGGTTCAAGCTGTGGATAAAATGAGTCTTGACAGATGCACTGAATCCAAAAAATGGCAAAAACTTGACCAAAAAAAGCCTTGATCTATCGTTTATTATCAAAAACACTCACTTAGCTTGCTGATAAAAGAAGTTATAGTGTTTTCTATTGAGGTTATAGAATCAATGCAGTGGATTCAGATCACATTTTGACATCAGGAGATTGAATTTTCTGATAAAAACTTTGTGATTGTTTGATATTTTCTGCTGTTTTGTAACTTAGTCATGATTTGGTAACCTGAAGGTTGCGTCTATTGTAACTATTACGTCTACTCGTATATTATATCTTACTATCAGGGCTTAGCTAGATTTGAATTTCAGTGTTTTCTTGGATCATATTTTGTCTCGGAAGCTTAATGAATAGCTGATTTTTAGCCATCGTTCTAATTTTACAATAAAAAGAACAGCACGCACAATTTTTTATTTTGTATTTTGAAGCTACTTGGAACGTGCTTTTTAATTCTGTTCATAAACGTACAATAGATAGTAGATTCAAAATATATGAATAATAAAAATGCACAAAGATAATATTCGCACAGGACAACGCGTGGTTGTTACTTTAAATTCTCCTCGGAAACTGCACGGAACCGTTAAGTTTATCGGCCGGATTAACTCTATCCCCGGAGATTTTTGGGTCGGAATCGAGCTTAACGAGCCTCATCCGGACGGCCACGATGGAAACTTAGAAGGAAGATTCTATTTCAATTGCAGAGCTTATCACGGCGTTTTTGCAGCTCCGAATCAGATCGAGTTAGAATCAACTTATTTCCGACGACTTCGAATCAAAAGCGCGTACAAATCTTCATACGTTCGCGAACCGAGTCCAGAACTGAAAGCAGAAGTTGATGACTTCAAAATCACTCCGGCCGATGGTATCCCGAATCAGGATAGACCTGATTACCATCTTCGACATCCAATTGGAACCAGGCCAGCAATCATCGACGATTTTGATACCGTTTTCTCCTCAGACAAACCAGTTGCTGGCTTTGGGTTGGACACCAGAAGATTGCTAACATCAAAGGGGCCATCAATTCCAATGCCGCACATGAAAACAGCAGACGTGAACAAATTTGATTGGCGCCGAGTTGCAAGTGGGAAATCACGAGCACATGTCCCGAGGTATTGGATTGATGACAAAGAAGCTGTCAAAAAAGCTCTTAAGATGCCTCTATGGTGAACCAAAATTGACAAATTAAATTTTTTAGCATTATTATTTCAAAGTAAGACCTATGTAACCAAAATATGGTTATTTTTGTAGAAGAAACGAAACTCTCGAAAACAAAAGTTTTTGGTACCTGGGTTGACCAAAAATGCTGATTATACAATTTTCAGGTATGAAAGATCTAACATAAGAGTTTTTGTTCCGACCATTGAGTATGGGTAGGAACAGGGACTTTGCATTGGGTGTTTTAGTTTTTCTTTCTTTTTGTTTTCTTCGCAAAATCAGGTAACACAAACAATCGCCGAAATAGTTCGAGTGATCTATCATATTGAAGCCCTTTTAGCCGTTTTTCGAACGAAACTTGATCTATTTTCACATAACCGGTTTGATTTTTTTTTGAATTTTAGCTTAATTTCGAGCGAGTTAAGCAACCGAGAAAGTAACGCCCTTCACTTTATATCGACTTAGTGGCCTCATATTGAGGCGTTTGATGAAAAAAAAATTTTATCTGATCTTGAGTTATTTAAGGGAGAGGGGAACTTGAAATGTTTTTTTTTAGTTTCATTGTTTTTGAAAAAAAAAATTTGGGACTTTTTTTGTTCTTCTTTCGGCTTAATAGATTTCAGTATTTTTAATATTGCTTTAGTGGCCTCGTATTGCACCGTTTGATGAGCAAAAAAATTCATGTGTGCGTGTGTTTTTAGGGAGAGGCGAATTTGAAAATTTTTTTTAGTTTTAAATGTTTTTTGAAACTTTTATTTCAGCTTGGGTGTTTTTTGCTTGGAATTTTCGGCTTTGTTACTGCTTAGTGAGGTTTCTTCCGATGGTAATGTAGCATTCTGTTGTCTCTAATTTTTTTTCAAAACTATCTTGCTTGTATAATTTTAGTTTTTCGATGCTTTTAATTTTTTTCTGATGGTTTTTCGGCTCATTGTGGCCGATTTAATTCTCGCTTTTGCTTCCGAAATGTGTGTACCATCTTGCCTTTAGTACTAGGTACTTGTGGTTGCTATATAGGCAGTACAAACTTTTTTTCATCAGTTTTGTTTCGCGGAATTAATTCGGCTGAGTTTCAGCTTATTGGCTGCCGGCTGTAATTTTGTCGGCTGATTTATTAAATATCTTGCTTCCTACAATTTTCCGATATCATTTTTGAAATCGATTAGCCACGGGAGCCAAGTTTTTGCATGCGCAAATTCAACACCAATGAAAGCTTTTAACAAAACTTTGTTTTTCTTGATCATTTCTTTTAAATGTAACATAGTTGGAAGCCATTTTTGTTAGTTGTTGAGCGTCATGCTGTTTTGATCCGGTATTTCTTTGTATCGCAAGAGTCAGTTTTGCCTTTTTTAAAATTCAAAATACTTGCTCAAAGTGTTGGCTTAGAATTGCCTTTTGATAAAGACAGTTATTATGAAATTAAATGGAGTTGGGTGTTCTGATTTCATTTTTGAAGACGCTTTGGAATTTTTTTGAATTTTGCAAAAATTGTTGTTTTCTCAAATATATATAGCCAATTTTCAATGAATGGTATCATGGAAAGACCGCCTACTTTTCTGTGCCTCTGCATACTCTCTCTATCTCTTTTTTCCTAAAGCCTTTGAAAATCTTGGGTTGCGTTGGGATATTTGACTCGTTTTTGATTTCGTTGTTTTCCCAAAAACTCTCCTCTCAAATCTGAGATTGCGGTTTCTTTGAACGGAACTGTATTGAAAAACTCCATAGACGGCTGAGCTAAAGTTTTATTTATAAAATTATGGCCCTCGGAAAAGTCAATTGTTTGATTAGTTGACCGTTTTTTTTAAACCTATTGAGTTTTATCGAAAACTACCCTCTCATATATGAGATTTTGGGTTCAATCAAAAGAATGAGTTGTGAGAAGCTCGGAACGTTTGATTTTCCTCGAAAACTGCTCTCCAATATTTGAGATTTGAGTTCAGTCGAAATTACAGGCTGCTTGAACCTCTTCTGCGCAAATGGCTACGCCCAAACTTAAATACGCAAAAAGCTATGTTACTCACAAATGTCAAATTTTTTTTTATTTACTGATTGTTTTTTAAATTTCTCTCGATAAGTATCCTGCCCAATCTGATATCATTCTTAATGGAAACAACAGATAGTTGAAAGCCTGCCTGCTTAAACGGGCACTCCCATGTTTTTTGAAAAATGTTATGGCCTTCAAACAAGTTTTGAAAGTTTGACGTTTTTGGGAAATTTTCTACCCGAAAACTAACGTGCCAAATCTCAGGTTAAGTCTTCAATCGAGAAACACAATTTAAGCATTTTTTCTTTTTCAGCGGCCGCGACCTGCTTTTTGCCGAAAAAACTTACGGATTTCGGAAAATCAAGTTTTCGTCAAGTTATGGGTTTCTATCAAAGTTGAGAGGAAATTCTCAATCAAAAAAAATTGGTTGCAAAAATTTTTCCTGCAGAAGTGGCGATCTCCTATTTTTTAAATGAAAAATGTTATGAACTTAGGAATTAATTTTTCTCAATTTCACTACCTCAAAATTTTTAACTCACTTATTTTTGTAGAGAAACAACCAAGGAGAAGCAACAAAAGTACGCATTTCGTCTCGCGTCAGTGTAACAAATTCAAAAAATGTCAAATACGTACATCTAAATTTAGCTGGGCTTCTAGTTGTCTTTTATCGAGACACACAAATTTTGGTTCACGTATTTTTTTTCAATTTTTTGTTTCTTTTTGGATTTGTTTTTTAGTTGTTGTCTCGCAAGTGGTGCAAAGTTCCGCTTCGGGTCTGGGTTCAAGATAAGTTTTTCAATTTTATACTTTGGCATACTCTATATAAAACAAAAAATAATACAGTTTGAGTCTAGGAACGTAAATGATATGACGATATATGTGAGTAAAATAATCCAAAACGGAGTTTTTTCTTAAAGGAAAATGCGTGAAGGTATGTTTGAAACTGCTCGCATATCAGGGCCAAAATGCCATTCAACGTCAATGAAAAAACCTTATTGAAAATTGACTAAGACTTTGAACATTTTTTAATGATTGTTTCATAATTTTTTGTCAATATAATCCCCACATGCGCTATGTAAAGTGAAAAAAAAAAAACGTATTTAGCGCCCGGTAACTCAACTTTAAAGCTTAAATGCCTGACTAGATTCAGTTTGGTATGATGAAGAGCTAAGTAGCTTACTCATAATTCAAAAGAATTGGTTGAAAATTGGGTTGGTCGAAAGTCGAAATTTGTCTGGAGAAAAATTGGTATCCTGCAACCTAACACCATTCATTTAACAA